TTAACTTGGTTATTAAACCACGCTGTTATTATTGCGACTGTCTGGCATTGATGATAAGATGATAATGAATGTTTAGCAGTTGGCAGAATGAGAACTGGTAAGGGAAACTGAAATACCTGGTGAAAACCGTTCCCATTTCCACCTTCCCACCATAAATCCTGCATGCCCTGACCTGGCATTGAACTCAGGCCACCAGAGTGGGAAGCCATCATGTAACTGCCTGTTGACTCATTGAGTAGTGATCTCTATATGTAATTTCTGGATACTAAGAGAATTTATGTTTTTATTTTAACCTTGGTAGCAAAAAAAGCCATTGAAAAGCTTTATTAATTTTAAAATTATTAACACATGTATACACTCCCATAACTTGAGTAACAATAATTGCAGGTATATTCACTTGTCTCGATCACAATCCTTGGATCCAGTGAGTGCACGGTGCACTGCCAGCATCAAGCAGCTCATTTATTATGTGGAGAACCAACTGCGTCAACTGAATGAACAACTTGACAGCCAGTGGATCGATTTTCAGGATTCTTGCAGGCCAAGTGTTAGGTGAGTTTTGTTACAAATTGATATTGAATATTTTATGTAACAGGCATAGCCACTGATGCATAATTCTGCCAAATTGGAGTAACTTCAAGAACGTACTGATGTACATGGTGCGTTCCATATATAATGCCTCCTATTTTTTTGTGTTAATATGTAGCGTTTGAGCTGGATGTTGGTGGTGTTGTAGTAAAGGTTGAACCTTCCCGCCAATGTACTGTTAATTTGGTTGTCATGCGACAGATAGCGACAGCAGAGCGGTCTACCAAAATGGCGTCTGACATAGAAGTGCGTATGAAAGAGAAATGTGTTATTGAATTTCTCACTGCCGAACAAATTGTACCCATTGACATCCATCGACACTTGCTAAAGGTGTACGGAGACAATACAGTGGATGTCAGCAGTGATTCGGTGGGTAGTGCGTTTCAACTTTGGCGAAAGTGAAGTGCACGACAAGCCACGCCATGGGCGTCCCTGCTCAGCTGCCACTCCTCACAATGAACAGTGCCTCATCTGAACAGATCAGCAGATGACAACCAGGGACTGTCAATTCTGAACGCTACAAAACGACGCTCACTAAGCTGAAAGCCTGTATTTCCCGAGTCAGGCCAGAGAAGCAGACAACCTTTCGCTTGCAACACGATAACGCTAGACCCCATACCAGTTTGGCGACCACCGTGCACATTGCAAAGTTTGGCTGGACTGTCCTACCACATCCACCTTATAGCCCCGATTTAGCACCTTCAGACTTCCATCTCTTTGGGCCTATGAAAGACGGACTACGTGTGTAACATTTTCCAGACAACGATGCTGTCATTGCAGCTGTAAGAAAGTGGCTAGCCTCTGCTGGTGCAGACTTTTACGGACACGCCATACAGGCTCTTGTTCATCGATGGCAAAAGTGCATAACGAATGGTGGTGACTATGTGGAAAAATAGCTGTAAGTAGCTGAAATCTTGCTCTATTTAACTGCGTTATTATGATTTCTGTATCTGTTGTAGTTTTCTTTAAAAAAAATAGGAGGCATTATATATGGAACACCCTTAGTACTTAGCTTGAATGATAAATTATCACTTGCTTCTGAGACAGTCAAAATGTGTAAAGTTGTGTCTTGGTTGTTAGTTCTTTTGTCGCAGCACATTGCTAAATTTCAGGCTGTGGACTGAACAGAAAACACTCCCCCACAGTTCCCCAGCTGTTGCGTACATGCCTGGCTGTCATTGGATTGGTGCTTGATGTTACCTAGCAATGGACATCTCTGCCACTTTTCTGATTCCAAGATTCCGACTTTTTGGGTTCATGTCACAATATAAAAGGTTGGGCAGACAGAACCTAGCATTGAGTGTTGTGAGGGCTCTATACATGGAAAATGGATATAGAAAGGCTGTTGCGAAATAAAGAAAATTAAGGCCTAAAACTCTGAGAACATATCAGAATGCACTCCTAACATCATGAGGTGTCTGTTTCAGATGAACCAGTCTGCAGTTGTCTTTACATTTAGGGCTGTATAACACATCTCGTACGGCTTAGTGTAAATATCAGCTCTGCTTTCAGATGGCACCACTGATGAACATTGTACTCCATGATTTTTGGTTTAAATGTTTGCAAACTTAACTCCCAGCTCCCATGGGGACCTTGCCCCATGTGACTATCACTGTATTGAACCAATGAACTTAGCATTACATGGGTGTTGATTTCAAGACATGAAAGAGATGGCATCAAGAAGCTGATGGACCAATTAACAAGTGTTTGTAGAAGCAGGGGAGTTGCATCAAAAGATGATGCTACCCATTTTCCTGTTTGCCTTCTGTAGATATACTAAAAATAAATGACCTATAATTTTCAATTAACCATGTATTACAAGAATATTTATTATTGATTGAGGGCTTTATCATTACCAGAAATGGAAAATAAACTTTTATGTAGTTTTCTAAAAAAAATTGAAGTCTTTGTAACGTGATTGCTTATTACAACTATCCTATTGTGTAACTGTTTCTACCTGCCTTGATGTTTGCAGTATAACCACCTGTGTTTTTTTTCCAGGAGTAAGATGTATATTCCCTCATTGGAATCGCTGTACCAAGCCATGGTAATGCAGAATAACATCCTCAACAAACAACGAGCTATCATGGCTGACATTGCTCACAGAGCTCAAGAACAAGGGAGGAGCACACAGATTCCTCTTATTTCTAGTGCAGTTCTTGCCCGAGTTCGTGACAAGGAGGATACACAGCTGAGCAAGGGGTATGTTTTATATTGTAATGCTTCACAGTACCTCATAATGCAGTCAGGATAGTGACTGGCTGTGGGTTGGACGACCAAGGGGTCGGAGTTCAAATCCTGGTAGGGTCAAGGATTTTCTCCATCTCCTCCAGAATGGCTCTGGGGCCCACCCAGCCTCCTGGGTACAGGGGGCTCTTTCCTCAGGGATAAAGCAGTTGGGGAATGAAGCTGACCACGTACCTCCAGCTAGTGTCGAGGTCAAGGAAACATGGGTCTATACATTGACTCCCCCATATGTCTTCATGGTGTAGTGCTTAGTTAAGCAGAGGGACAACTTTACCTTTACTTCATTATGTTATGAATGATGAAGGCATAAATAACAGATTGCTGCTTTTTTTTTTTTTTAAACTTCATTAGCCTGTGGAGGGCTTCAGATTTTAAGTAAAGACTTTTCAGATTAGGTGACGGCAGCAGGAGCCGCTGAAGTCCATGAAACACATCTAGCCCACATGTTTTATGGTGATAAAAACAATAGGCATTTGAATATGTTTTTTCCTATTTTTAGGGAAACTGAACTATCCCGGTTGGCCGAAAATCTGGTGAAGATGAAATTGGGACCATCCAATGTGCAAACGATCTATGGAATGGGATTGAACTACCATCGCCTATCTCGAAAGAAGGAGTTGCTTTTGAGGGAAATGTTGTCTCAGAGAACTGCGACACGAGTACGCCTTGCCAAACCATCTCGCACAACAGTGGGTGGAATCTCTGTGGGCAAACCTATAGTCAGCAAAGTTTATACTTCAGCCGTTACACCATCTGTGACATCACCTGTGACACCAGTTTCAGTTGCAGTATCCTCCAAGGACACGTCACGGCTTTCTGCTGGTGTGGCTGTTACTGAGCTGAAACAGTCTTCTCCTACGGTTAATGTTACGAAACCTGGATCTTCTCACTCTCCCCTGTTTTTATTTGGGGCAACTAGATCTGGAGAATTGGATACCGTCAGTAAAAGTTTTCCCACTAGAGCTTTCTCATCAGTAGGTGCAAAATCTGGTCCTGCAAGCAAAGAAATCCCACCTGGCACAAGTATGGCAGCATCCAGTGGAATATTTGCACCCACAGTTGAGTCCAGTAAAGCAAAACCTAACGTACTTGATAGTAGTCTGTCCAGATCAAGGAATCATATAAGTGATATGGCAAGTAAAAGTAATGCAGTTGGGGATCTATCATTTTCTAGCACACTTCACAATGGGAAACCTGTTGCATCTGGCAGTTTTTCTTTTGCAGTGGGGCTTAGTAAAGCTCCTTCGGTTGGTAAACTTACTGATTCAAGGAAAAAGTTGGAGGATTATTATGAAGAACTAACACCGCCTGGAACCCCAGAGTATTCACATGGAGGTGTTCCTTCCACAGGAAGTTCTGTTTCTAGTTCACCATTTACATTTAATTTTACTGTTACACCAACCACCACGAAAGCTGGCACTGTTTGTTTAAGTTCTGCTAGTGAAATAGGCAGTTCCTTACAGAAGAGTCCACTTGTGTCCCTAGATAGTATTGTAGCAGGTATAGGAGATGCCAGCAGTGCTTCTGATACTACAGCTAAGGCTAATGTTGATAGGAACTCCATTGCAGCTTCATCTGCCAATAATGCTTCTAGTGGAACAGCGTTTTCATTTGGTCCATTATCTGTTAGCCAGCCCCAGCAAGGGGGAACTAGATTAGGAAAGGCTGATGAACCAAAAGAGCCCTCTGATACTTTTAGGTTTTCCCAAGCAGGTATATCCTTTGACTTTGTGGCTGCTCCTCCATCTTCAGGCACTGGTGGCATTATCTCTCAAGCTTCCCCTTTAAAGACATCAGCCACAACAACAGACGTGAGCTTGAAGACACCCTTTGTAACAGGTTTTGGCACTCAAAACCATGAGGGTAACTCAGCACCTCAAGCAAACATATTTGGTGGTGGTGAGAGCCAGAAACTTTCCTCTTCACCAGTTGCAAGTGGAAGCACTTCAGTTTCAGGCAGTTCAACTAATATCTTAGCTCAGTCTCCAACATCTTTGTTTGGAAACCTCAGTACAGGATCACCCGTCAAGCAGCCAGCATCAGCTTCATCTGAGACAACACCAGTATTAAGTAAAGGAAGTACAGATTCTACCTCAGCACTTGTCACCCCTTCTAAAGAGGCTGAACCACAGAAACCTGAATCTTCACCAAAAGACCAATCTTCTGTAATGTTTACTGCTGCAGATGAGAATCACTTCTCTCAGAGCACATCCCTGTTTGGGAGCTTGTCTATTGGATCAGGAGCACCTTCAAAACCAGCTTCATCCGAAAGTTTATTTGGAGGTGGATCTGCCCCTGTTGCTCTAAATTTAATTTTTGGTAAACAGCCAGCTTCCACTGAAAGCCAGAATGTCAGTGATGTAAAGAATGCACCTGAAGCTACTGAAGATGCTGACTCATCAAAAGAACATTTACAAAAATCTGAGTCTCCTTCAAAAAATACTGAGGGCTCTGCATCCAAACCAGTTACTACTACACCTGGTTTTAATCAGACTCCTGCTCCTCCCGATGACAGCTCTCAGTCTTCACAGGTGACCGAGGCCCAGGTGGTGCCAAGCACCTCATCAGTATTTGCTGGTGCAAAGACTGAAAATACAACAGCTTTCAGCTTTTCTCAGTTAGATTCCAGCCTAAGTGGACCTCAGACATCAGCAGTTTTTGGTCAGACACTACCCACAGCACAATCTCTAACAGGATCCATATTTGGTGCTTTAGAGACACCACAGCTAACGGTGGCACCTGTGACATCAGCTATCATCACTTCCCCAACAACACAGACCACTTCTTCTGCAAGCACAACATTCAGCTTTGCCCTTCCAACTTCAGTATTTGGTCAGAAAAGTACAAATATATTTGGACAGTCAGTCAGCTCGGCTGCCCCAGCCACATCAAGTGGCTCTTTGTTTGGTCAATCTATTTGTAGCCCAACAGCATTTGGACAGAGTGAAGGAAGTATTTTTGGACAACCTCCAGCTACAACAGCTGGCAGGACAAACATATTTGGACAAACAAGTGCAACCACAACCACTCCATCAGTATTTGGCCAAGGAAACACAAATACTACACAGTCCATATTTGGTCAGGCCTCATCAACATCTCTTTTTGGCCAAGCACCTTCAGGTTCTTCATTATTTGGTGGAGGATTTGACAGGAAACCTGCATTTGGACAGTCAGGGGGATCAATCTTTGGACAGAGTGGCAGGTGAGACAGATCTGTCATCTACATTTACATAATGAAATAAATAATTTATGGTCAGAGGCATGCTTATTTGCTTTAAGACATATTAGTGGCATTTTGTCCTGTCTGTTGTTGATTAGATAATTCTTATTGTAATTATTTTACCTGGTGAGTAATTTTCTTAATGATATTTACTAAACAGGTTGGTTTAACAGTAATGCTGCAGACATGGATTTGGGATGTACTCAGTTTGAATCTTGGTTGGGATGCCAATTATCCTGCCTGAGGGTTTTTGTGGTTTTCCTTAGTTCTTCCAGGTGGTTGCTGGAGTAGTACATCTTGCTTTTTTCCAGTTCACCATCTGTCTGCAATCATACCACCCAGTGATGTATAGTCTTGATACTGAAAAGCTTCTTTAAATAACCCACAAAATATAATTATCTCTGCTAACAAATGCTGATGTCTGATGGAATATCATGAAATTGATGTTCTTTGCATAGACTCCCAGTGGATCGTGGAAACATATTAATCACAAATGAAACTAGTTTCTGCAGTTACTGATGTCTTACCATAACATTAGGTTAGTCAAGTTAGAAACCTGCTTCAGTGGGGTTGTATTGGATTGGACATTATATAAGTTACATTTCACATAGCTGGATTTGAACTGGGCAGTTCCTGAAAATTACTATCCTCTAGGATGTGACACCATGTAGTCTGATAAATCATTGTCAGTGTTTTGGGGAGTGCTGGTAACAGTATACTGAACTACACAGCATCACAGCACTGTAGTCTGGTAGACCATTACATTCATATCTCTAAAACATTGTGTATGATTTATCAGGATACATGGTGTCACATTTTAGAGGTCAGTAATCTTCAGCGTTATTGCTATGAGAACCTCCTATTTTGTGTGTATGTTTCATCAGTGCAAGCTAGATAAATCCTCTGTTACTGACCATAATTTGTTGGTTTAGTAATATATGCATTTCTTGCATGAAGTTAATGCAATGAGGAAGTTGAAGAAAGCAGTCTTCTGGGATTTGGCACCGTGTATATGTGGTGTTAACCGACGTTTCGGAGGAACGTATCGCCTCCATCTTCAGGGTAGAAGAAAAAATATAAGAAATCTGCAAGCGAAGAGACCGTGAGAACCGNATTTTATATTAGGGATGTACACTGAACATTTCCACTCAAGTATAATTTTGGTTCTCTATTAGTTTAGTGTAAACCTAATATTACATGAAGCTCAAACCAAACTAGATTTCTTTTAAAGAAAAACATGCTCATTACACAAAGAATTAATACATGACATAAAATATAGAACTCATCAAAGTCTCCAAATTTTATTTGTAACGTAAGATTTGAGGTTTTCACGGCAGTGACTATGAAGAAAGCAGTCTTCTGGGATGTGGCACCGTGTATATGTGATGTTAACCAACGTTTCGGAGGAACGTATCGCCTCCATCTTCAGGGTAGAAGGAAAAATATAAGAAAGATATATAAGATGGAGGCGATACGTTCCTCCGAAATGTCGGTTAACACCACATATACACGGTGCCACATCCCAGAAGAAATGTTGAATTTTTTAGTGAAATACATAGTTAAGTACAGACTAACGTAACATTAATGTGGAATTAGTATGGATTCTCCATATCATTTGTACTGTAGAATTCACCAAACCAAATTTGCGGCATACATCAGCTTCTTTCCTTCCATTTTCTATTTCACGAATCACTTTAACTTTTCCTTCAGTGCTTAAAACTTTCCTTTTCATTGCCATGTTTTCGCTACTGCACTTCTCTGGGTTTAGGCAGGAACACTATAGGGTAAGTAGACAATGTGAGGTCCTGTTAGACGAGATTCTAGGAAAGGAATGTAGTTAACAACATGTCGCGTCCTCTTGCACTATTCACGCAGTCCCACCCCACACCCTTGTTTTCGCATAAAACCCACGCTCCTCTTGCAGCCCGCGGTTGTATTCTTCCAGGACAGTCACGTCCGCAAGTAGAGAAAGTGAGGGTGGGCGGACACATCGAACTTTCCCACGATATCAGAGAAATTCAGGAATGAAAATGACGTTACATACGAGGTTGAGGCATTTGTGCCTGTCGTACTAAGCAAGGTATAAAAACAGTTGCTTTATGAGGAATTAGTTCGTACCATTGAATATTTGACGCAATAGACAAGGTGTCGCAGAAACCAGTGTTGCTATAACCAAGTTTTACTGTATGTGACATTTCTTTCTGACTGTGCAGTGAATAAATGGATGTCAAAAACAAATCCCGAATAACATCATTGTTCTGCAACACTGCTTTTCCTTCCTAAAAATAAGGCAAGAACAATATTTTGAGCTGCATGTTGCATTAAGGCATTATCTGTATATGAGCTCAGTACTTATTTATCTTACTAACTGTGAAGAATAGGGTCTTCTGGGATGTGATGCCATGTAGTCTGGGAGAAGTTAATGAAAATTTTGGAGAAACTTACTGGGTCATTTTCAGGGTTGAAGAAGGAGACAGCGTGTTTCTATGAAGTGTTGCTGAATGTCTACCAGTTTACGAGGCATCACATCCCAAAAGATGGTACTCCTTGCAGTTACCACTGTTGAGAATGTAGAATTGTGCACTCATACTGATTGTCCTAATTTTTATAGTTCTGGTTTTGGAACAAGTGGAGGTTCAATTTTTGGAGGGGGCACATCTGTGTTTGGAGGCTCATCACCATCATCAGCTGGCAATGTCTTCCAGTCTTCAAGTGAGTTATTGCCATGATGTTTTTTCATTGCTTTATTTGACATCGAGGTGTATCGGAAAGTTCCTGGACTAGGTCAAAAAAGGAATGCTGGCTTAACTTACTCAATTTTGGCTGCCATCTCCTTCAAAATTGTCTCCTTAGTGACACACAGCGATCACATCATTTTTTTTCCATGCTTAAAAAGCGCTGTGGAAGTCATTTTCCTTAATGATGTTGAGTACCGCTCACAGTTCCCTTTGGATGTCAGACACTGTTTCAAAACAGTGCCCCAACAGTTTCATTTTCAATTTTGGAAACAAAGCAGAATCACAGGGGACTTAAGTCCGGCAAGTAGGGAGGATGAGGAACGATAACCATGTTGTTGTTACTCACAGACTCTGGTTTTCAGGGATGTATGGGTGGGTGCGTTATCCTGATAAAGGAGCAATGTGGTTAATGTTCACATTTTCTGTTAAGATCTCCTGGAAAACTCCATAAGTGATCCCAACGGTGTCTGCGAGCTCATGGATTGCTCAGTGATGGTCTTCATTGTTGAGTTCTCAAATTTTATCAGCATTTTCTGTTGTTTTGCTAGTGCTTGGTCGCCCTGAATGTTTGTCATCTTCAACTGACACTTGACCGGCCTTGAAACATGAATGCCATTCAAAAACTTCTGTCCGACTTAAAGAATGTTCTCCAAAAGCTTCACGAAGCATTTTAAGGGTTCTGGTAGGGGACTTACCAAGCTTCACACAAAACTTGATGCAGACATATTACTTGATTTTGCCATCCATTGCAGACAAAATGAAACATGAAGTTGAAAAAGCACTTGTGTAAAACAGTGTGTGTTCATGGTGTGGTGTCACGTGGCAGACTGATGTGATTGGCTTTCAGAAGTGTGAACTTGGCCTCCTGTCTTCTTTCGCCAAGGCACTTACAATAGCAACAGTCTGGGAACTTTCTCATACAGTCTCACACAGATTTTATAGCTATTACACATGCTGATTTTTTTGTTTCAGCTGGTGGAAGTATTTTTGGTGGCAGTTCTCCAAGCAGTGCGAGTAGCACTGGTGGTGCTTTCAGTTCTGGCTTGGGTCAGAGCATCAGTCAGAGTGGCTTTGGTTCACCACCTACTTTCCAGAACAAACCAGGTATGCTCATGTTGTTTTTCACATTTACATGTCCACAAGAGATCTGGCAGTCTTAGGAGTTAGGAGGCACTGGACCTCTGTTCCAAAAATTTTGACTTTGAGTTTAGTCGATTGAAAAACAGATTGTACCATGCACATTTCTTCTTTTCTTACCTCTGGTGAATGTAATCACAGTCCTTATCATTGTTCAGATCACATTAATCTGTAACTCCTCTCCAACAGCAATCCTCCTCCTCATTTTACCAATGACATTAACAGAACCCACCTCAGAAATGGATTTCTTCACCATTGTCATGAGGCATGGGCCAGACAGATTGAGCAGACCATGATGGGAGTATAAACCACAGTGACCACAACAACATAATAATGAAGACAGAAAATCCAAATTTGTCTATGGTAAAATGTAGGATTAAGGGTGGGCTCCACTTTTCATACTCACAATCTAGCTATGACAATCAGTATTGAAAAAATACAAAGTTTGTGTTCAAAGAAGCTCTTTTAAGTGAGAATTTCTCATGAAAATGACACGGTAAATGTTCTGTGGCTGCCTTCAAGTTTTAAATTACATTTCAACGTGGATGTTTCGAAACCCTGTGAGAGCTTATAAGGAACTTCACTGCTTGGTTATGTAAAAAGCATGTCTTCTCAGTTCTTACAGAAGATAAAGAATCTTGAAATTGGAAGATGACTTGGTAACTCCATAAATTTAATTATCCATGAAAATACATAGTGGTCGATCATGTTGGATAATCATTCCGGGCACATTTGAGAAATGGTGAATATGCTAACTTTGTGTTTAACTGAATGTTTTACATTTATGTTTGAATGAATTTGGTTCTTTTGGTGCCAGTTAAGTGCTTTCAATACATAACTGGTTTTCAACAACAAAACAATTTTTATAACATATGGAACCTGCGCAGGTGGGTTTGGAGGCTCTCCAGTTTTTGATCGAGGTGCATCAGGATTTGGATCTTCACCTACCTTTGGTGGTGCTCCTATTTTTGGTGGTTCACCAACCTTTGGTAGCCCTGGGAAAATATTTGGATCCACTTCTCCAACAGCTTCTAGTGAGTTGGTTGCAATAGAATATACATTTTAGAAATACCATGACGTACTGTCTTACCGAGATATGAAGGTGGATGGTGGTGATAAAGTGGGAAAAGTTACCATCCTCCTTAAGCACTTAATCAGACAATATGAGATATGCACTTGGACCTATATTCAGTCTCCTATTTTATTCATTCACTATTTCTGTTGTCTTTCGTGTTTTCTATCTTTTTAAATTCACTTATACAACTTTAATTAATATAGAGGTTTCCATTATATTTATTCTGGCAGGACATTCAGTAGGACTCCTTACCAAACAGAGTATTACCGTGTTGTTCATTTCTCTCTGGTCTGGGCAGCTTATTGCCTATACAAGCCCTAAAATTCTCTAGCATTTCTTTTGTTTTCTTATTGTTCATCTCAGGATTATGCTTCTGTGCTATGGCCACCTGGCTTCACCCAATTCGAATTGCATGTTTATATCAGCAATGTTATCAAAACTAAATACAGTTAAACCTTGTTACAACAGGCCCAGATATAATTGACAAATTCTGGCTGTGTACAAGTGTGAAGTTTTAAAGATGTAGAGGCACTCAGAAAGTTTTATACCGAGAAAACTATTTCAGATAAGAATCCCAGTATAAAAACTTCTGTGTTATCACATTGTATTCATGTTTATTATGTGTATTGGCTGTGTCCTGTGGTGTACTTGCATGAATACCCCTTCACTTGTTGTAGCATAGATTGGCAGTAATGGTCACAATGCCCCTCCCCTCTTAGACAATTATAACAAGGGTTTACTGTAGTTTCAGCAGTTGAAATATGTTGTTAAATAAACATTCAGACCTGATTGATTGGATTAACTCATATCTTAATTTTAATGTTACAGTATTTTCAAATCCAATTTCTGTTTGGTATTTTTAGTGTAAACTTTAACAAGCTTGTTTCTTCTTCCTGATTTCATGTTAACCCCTTTTTTCAGTTGGTTTTGGATCAACAGGACAGCAGTCATCAACATTTGAAAGTCTTGCCTCTCAAAGCACGATGACATTTGGTAACCTTGCACAAAATCAGAGTCCAGGATTTGGTTCATCATCGCAGTCTATTTTTGGAGGAAATCAGACTCAACAGCAAGCCAGTGTACCGGCATTCTCTACAGGAAGTAGTTCTTTTGGGTAAGACTTTTGTGTCTCCTTCATGCATATGATGTACCTTATGATTAAAATCCATATGTGACTGAGTGTTAATGTCTCATTTTCTTATTACACAAGTAAGTATGTGCAATTATTTCTTTCCAGAATGGGGCAAATGGGGCTCGGATTGTTTTAAAATTTGCAGTAGAGTGTTGCATAGTTTTGAAATTTCTCTAGAAATATGACTGGAATATATATTCCAGGTTGTAATTGTAGGTGTTACAAGTTAGAGCTGGAATAGTGCAGTTGATATAGCAACTGACTATGGGCTGGATGACCAAGGGGTTGGAGTTTGAGTGCTGGTGGGGGCAAATAGTTTCACTTCTCCATGTCATCCAGACCAGCTCCGGGGTTCACCCAGGCTCCTATCCAATGGGTACTGAGGTCTCTTTCCTCCGAGGTAAAGAAGTTGGGGCGTGAAGCTGGCCACTGACCTCCACCTAGTGTCGAGGTCAGGAAAACGTGGGTCTGTACAGCTACTCCACCATACGTCTTCTTGCCATAGTGCTGATTAGTTAAGCAAGGGTGTTACAAGTTAAAAAGATATTGCTGTATGTAGAATTGTTGTCTGTCCATCTGTCTATGATCTAGTATCAGTGCCTGAACTAAAAGCTAGACAGTTATTTTTCTTTTAATTTAGTTATAGAGACTTTCATATGAAGTTGTTTGGCAGTTCCAGTTTGCATCCATATTGATTCCATTGTCTACTTTAACTAAGGCTGAAAGTAAATGGTAAAGTCCGTGTGCTTAATTAATTAAACACTACGCCATGAAGATGTATGGGGGGAGTGGATGTATAGATCCATGTTGTGTTGATCTCAGCACTATTTGGAGGTGAGTGGTCAGCTTTACATCCAGTTCCCATTGGATAGCAGGCTGGATGGACCCCAGAGCCAGTCTGGATGATGTGGAGAAGAAAAAATTCTTGACCCTACTGGGACTTGAACTCCACCCCCTTGGTTGTCCAGCTCATAGCCAGTTGCTATACCGACCGCACTAAATTTAATAAATAGTAAAGAATGCCGCTTGGTATTTTGTGTGCTACATCATGGAGTACATCATTTATATATAGTCTTGTCTTGAAACATCTCACTTGGTTCTTTGTTTCAGTGGCAGTTCCTTCTCAAGCTGGAGGTGAAATGAAATTAAAATACTGAAAATGATGAAAATTTCAAACTTTGCACTTTGGTGAAACAAGTTCAGTATGGGAAAGAATAAATAATTGGATTTTTATCTTAAGAAGTAGTACCATTACATTTATTAATGTTCAAGATATATTTTGTATGATGTAAGTGCTGTATTGTAACATCCTTTTCCAAAATAAATTACAAAGTATTTATTCTCTGTTGTTCGGTGAAGTGAACTGTTTGATTGTACAACACAAAAGGATGTTTCCAATTGAAATGTGGGAAACCTTCCTGTCTGAAATGTCTGGCATTTTGTTAGTGTGCATCTTTACTGTATGTAATGAATTATCTTCTTTCTTGCCATACATGGTATAAATAGTCTCCTTCTTCCTCCTCCTCCTACAAGGATGTAGGCCATTGGTCTGTTTCCAACTTCAAGAGAATATACTATAAATAGTCACATATATATAAGATCATTTAGTGTAGCAGTTTCCATTTCTGTCCGGGTTTCTGTTTTCCACCTACAGGCTGTGTCTGCTACAGACTCTTGCTTTGAAACTGTGCTGTCTAATGGCATTATTTTCCTGAATGCTCGGACATAATGAAGATATGACAAAACGTTCAAGTGTCTTACTTTATATCTGTACAGTTGCAGAAAATGTTGAAGTTAATGCATTTAATTCTTGATGTACTGTAATGCCATTTTTGATCTGTTCTGAACTCTTGTTCATAAACACGATGTGAAACTTATTAAAAAAAAAGGGTAAAGCTATTTCTGTAGGAGGCTGTAGAGGCCCATAGGGTTGGTTCCCACATTTTCTAGACAGCTCACAGATGGATGTGAAGTCAGCCTTATATGCTGGCCACCCTTTACCCCCTCTGGAACTTATTTCTGTTAGAGGCTGAGTGAAACCCAGGGCCATAGTGCATCTGGAATAATTAGGATAACTGAAAAATCCAGTGACCTCATCAGGGATCGAACTTATGACCTTCTGGCTTGTAGCACAGTGCCTCAACCAGTTACACTACTGTGTGTCCCCCAGTGCAAAACTTCTAGTGGATGAAATCCAATAATAGGTCTGATGCTTCTCTATACCAAACCTCATTTCCCCACAATCAGTAATTTAGGAATAACAGCAAACCTTCCATGATAGAAAAGTTAGCAGTGTAAGAATATTTTAAATATACCGACAGTTTTCAATGAAACTTTGTCCTTTCATGTAGTAGTACTTCCTTCTTTATTTCTTGACTCTGAAGTCCTGTAGTGACCTTGGCCTCTGTTATGACATACACATTCTTCTCTGTTATGTGATTTTTCACCATATCTTCATTTTCAGTTTTCATAAATGATACACTGCATGTTTGAACCTTCCCACTTTCCTTTCTCCTTCTGGCTTACAATCACATAGCCTTTCAACAACCCTTGTTTGCTAATTCTAGTTCTGTCTTACAGCTACTCTCCTAAATAAACTGCTTTCAAAGATGGCAAGATTGTCCATATAGCTTTTCCTTACCTGTTCCCAAAATTATCTGTCTGGCATTTATGATTAGGTTTCATAACATTTTTATTTTATATTTCTCACACACAATCTATAACCTGGAATATCAGAGCTACCTTTTGTCTGGGTGTTACTCTTTAACCAATATAGTTTTGATAGTCCTGTCAGATGCATACACATTCGCTAGAATAAGTCATACTACACACCTTCTCACCATGTTAAAGTAGTAGCCCATGAGGTACATCTTTTTAAGGCAAATGGTTATATATGCGAAGACAGAGTTGTCCTTGTGGTTAATTAATTAAGCACCATAACATGAAGACATATGGGAAGTAGGGGTATAGTTCCACCATTCTTGACTTCAACTGTAGATGGAGGTAAGTGATGAGCTGCATACGCAGATTGCGTTACCCCTAGAGAAAAATTGTCCCCAGTACCCAGTAACTAGATTCCTAATTATTAAGGTGTATAAAAGAGGTTGAATGGTAAGTTGAGCATGGCAGTTGCCAAAGCGCGGTCAAACGGTCATTATTTATTTATTGCAACGGATATAGCTGCTGTCAAAAGTTTCTGGCACTTTTCAGAGCTAAATATAAAATCACACATCTGTACATGTAAAACTAATAAAACATTCCCACAAAGATATATAAACAAAGTCTATTTCAAAACTCTGAATACAGTTAGATTGATTTTAACAGTCTTAAGCCTGTAGCTTTAAGAATGCAATAAATATTGTTGTTTTTTAAACGTTGCACTTTGCATATTGAAAAAGCATTTAAAAACCCACGCCAGAAGCTACCACAGTTAATACGCCATTGATTTTAACTCCATCTACTAAAGATTAACTTCAATGTACATAATCTTTGGTTATGAAATAAACCCGAGGCGCAGCAGAATAATAGCAAACAATAGTCCTATTGCGACAGCTTTAATTTTGATAGATCGACGGTGTCACGGATCAGTCGGTATATCGAATATTCCTTGTCGCCGATTAATGGACAAGGTTGAATAATGGTTAAGACAGAAGCAGGAAAGATTTGAAATACGTATTTTCTAAGTTAAATTCATCTGTATGCACAATGAATGGCGAAGTAGAATTTCACATTCGACAAAATTATCAGTGGGCAAAACTGCCAGTAAATGTCAAACAGGTAAGTAACATTTAATGAACAGTTCAACTTTTCCTTATCGTGTTTTCACGTCAAGATATGTAATATGTCATTAATGATAAAATATTTTGATGTTATATTATATCACATAGAAAAATGTATGAGATTAGATGTTTCCACTGTGGTGAATATGAAGGAAGCGGCTGTCCTGATATTAGGATGTGTAGTTTGGGGTGTTTGGACGGAGTTTTAGTATAATAGTGTGTTGGCGAATGTATAGATATGTACTAACGGTTAATAATAATAAAAAAAAAAGTGTTCGATGTGGACATGTCTTAAATTTGACACTTAAGAGAATGAAGAGATAAAAGGTTAAGATTTCAGTGGACGGAAGCACACCATGAAGATTAGGAAGGGCAAGTGGAGATAAGGCTGTAATGGAACAAATGCATTTTGCATAAATTAACGTCTTTCCAGCCTTATATACTTTGTTTTTATTTTATTGAAGTTGGGTTAGTTTTACCAGGCACGCACTTTTTCCCATGTCTGTTTTTGTTATGTGCAGTTGAAGGCATAATTTGTCAGGTATGTCTGTGTATAACATCCAGGTATTATTGTGCCCTCATTTGCTAATGAAATTATGAACAGGACATGCTTAAACCAAATTTATGTTGAAACTTGGCAGCACATTCATGTCCTTATATAAGTTTGCAAGTGATAGCTTTTCAGATGGATTTTGTGCCCAATGACTGCCCAAATTTAGTTGGAAGTGTTGTAATTTGCCTCAGCATTGTTTGGCTTATGTTCTCATTCATTCAGTGCCTCATTGGTAACTGTTAATGCGTTTGTTGTGTGGATTCATTCACCCATAAATCTAAATACATTGATACAGGACTCGTCATATACATACACACACATCTTCCACTTTCCATAAACATCCATGCAGGCAACAGACCTAGGATGTTGAAATAGTCTCCAAACACATACACAAAGTCACACAAGCCACACAACGAAGATCACCCACATTAACTGTCTAACACATACAACAATATGAGGCAAAAAGATAATATCCTGATTAACAGACACAAGTAACCACAATACAACCCCTCACATCTCCCATACCAACTATATTAAAATGTGGCGTTAAAACATTCAAATTTATGTACATTTGTAATTAAAATACTCATTTAATGCATAAAAAGAGTTAGCATGTAAAAAGCTTTTTAGGGAACGTTCAAAGGATTTCTGGTTATTAGATAATCGTTTCAGCTCTTTAGGCAGATCATTGTAGATTTTTATACCTGAATAATATGCACCCTTTTGAACTCTAGTAAGAGAAGTACTCGGTGGAAATAGGTTAACATTCTGTCTGGTACCAATATTATGAACCTCTATGTTTCTGTCCATGGTTTATGCTAACCGTCTTACAGTGTATTCACTTTTTCACCTTATTCTTCACTTCCACATTACATGTTTCAGCACTAATGTGCCATCCTCAGGTGTCTTTATGCACGTTAAACTATTGTACTGCATGCCATGATGTCTTCATTCTAAAATGATTAAAATCTGTATTCATCATATATGTCGATGAATTCTAAATAATAAAACTTTTCAGGATTCATCCTACGTCACACTCAAACACGCGAATTACACCAATCCTCTTTTATGTGAGCATTCTTCCTGTGTTTCTTGTAAACAAATGTATGTTATTTATAGTGTGTTGCAGTAAGGAATATATGTATTGAGAACACAAAGGCAGAATTTTCATTTCCTTGAAAGAGTCTCTACATGAATCTCTTTTCTTTAATCCCATCATAATCCTTATAACTTTCTTTTGGATTATAAAATGTTTTGTCATGTATGAAGAATTGCCCCAGAAGATAATTCCATATGTCATCACAGAATGTATATAAGCAAAATAAATCATTCTTAAGCTACTTAATGATATCATAGGCGTAACTGTTCTCATAATAAAGCAAGAAGAACTCAATATAGTAACAAGGTAATCAATATGATTCTTCCAACACAGCCTATTATCAATATTTAGGCCTAAAATTTGATACACTCTAAGTTAGTCGGTAAATTTTGATCAATATTATTATGCATATTATGATCCTCAT